TAATGGGCGCCGTCAGGTGGGCAAAGTTTGGGATGAACTTACGATAGAAGTTCCCAAACCCTAAAAACCTCTGCACATCCTTCCTGGTTTTGGGTGTTTTCCATTCCAGTACCGCCTGGACCTTGCCGGGATCCATGGCCAACCCCTTGTCAGACAGGCGATACCCCAGGAACTCCACCTCCTTGGTATGAAACTGACACTTCTCCAGTTTCACCCACAGCTGGTTGGCTTGCAGCCTGCTCAACACTTCTCTGACGTCTCTCACATGCTGCTCCTCATTCTCAGAATACACCAACACGTCGTCTAAGAAGGCCACACAATTCTTGTAAAGCAACGGCCCCAGGACGTGGTTCATAAACGATTGAAATGTTGCGGAGCCTGCTTGTAGACCGAAGGGCATAACTAAGTATTCAAATGCCCCTAAAGGGGTGAACATGGTGGTTTTCCATTCATCCCCTTCCTTATTCAGTATCAGGTTGTACGCCCCCTTAGATCCAGCTTGGTGAAAATCTTTCCCTTTCGCACCCTTTGTCAAAATGTCGTCAATCCTGGGCATCGGGAAGGCCACTGGTTCTGACACTGCATTTAAGGCCCTGAAGTCACACACCAGTCTCGGCTTGTTCGTGTTTTTTGTCCACAAAAACACTGGGCTGCCCCCACCGCCCTGGACTCTCTGATGAACCCTCTCTTCAGGTTCTTGTCAATGAACTCTCTTAGCTCCTGCATCTCTCTGTCTGACATGGCGTACAGCTTGCCCACAGGGAGCTGTGCCCCAGGGAGCAAATTGATTTGACAGTCAAAGGCTCTATGCGGTGGTAGTTGGTCAGCTTCCTTTCGCTGAAGACGTCGCGGAGATCTGCGTATTGTCGTGGTACCTTCACGTTCTCCTTCACTTCAGTCCCTGCTAGGGTGGCTTGGGCCCCTGCCAAAACCTTTCCCTCTTGCAATGTTCTAAGCAATGTGCTGACCCAAAAGAAACCACTCTCTGATGCCAGCCCACCAGCGGATCATGTAACGCTAGCCAGCTCATCCCCAATATAATGGGAGCTCCTCCCAAGGTGGCCACATTAAAAGCTATCAGTTCAGTGTGCCTTGCCACCTTCATTATCATTGGGACGGTCTGCAAGCTGACTTCTCCTCCCAACAGCTCCCTGCCATCGATCGTGGTTACTTGCAGGAGCTGCTTAAAGGGAGCCGCCTGTATCTGGTGTTCAGCTGCAAACTCTTTGCTCATGAAATTGCAGGAGCTGCCTGAGTCCAACAGCGCCTTTATCTTTAGAGGGTGTCCGCTTGGGAGCTCTAGTGTCACTTCTATCACTAGGGCGGGTTTAGGAGGTTCTGGAGTGGGCACCTCACTGCTCTTTGGCCTGGCTGCTGTGCCCCGACAATGGCAGCCAGGCGTTGGCTTTTAGTTGCTCCGGTATTTTTCCTCTCTTCCCTCCACAGCTCCCACCATCCCTTGCCATTCCTTCCTCTGGGGGCAGACTCTGGCAAAGTGCCCTGGCTGTTGGCAGAGATAGCATTTCCGGGCGCCTTTTCCATCCTTCTTTCCCCTCACTGGGCTTTGAAACTGCGCGCGCGCGCTGTTCCGATTTCCATCGGCTCTGCCGGCGGGACAGTTGGCTCTGGAATGTCTGGAATGCGGAACTCCTTCCAACGTTCCAGAGCCAACTTTCCCGCCTCTCCAATGCTCTCGCCTCCTGGCGCGCTCCTATGGCCAGCGCTGATTTGGTCAGCTGGTCCATAGACTCCGCCCTGGGCGCCCGGGAAAGTTCATCTTTCACAGCCGAAGAAAGCCCTTCTTCAAAGAGCATTTGAATGGGTTCCGCCGATAAGTCCCACCCCAATCTGTGTATCAGCATGGTGAACTCAGTCCAGTACTCACGTACAGATCGGCTCCCTGTTTGCAAGCCATTAACTGTCTGCGCACCACTCCTTTTCAATATCGCTGGAAAACATCCGATCCAAGGCGCGAAAGAACTCCATCGGGTCCTTAAGGACGTCACTCAGCGCTGCCAACAGGGGTCTAACCCAGTCCTCGCCCCTTTTCCAGATGCCCAATCACAAAAGCCACTCGTGATTCCTCATCAGGGAAATCCTCAAACTGCAGATTGAGGGCATATTGCATTTCTGTCCGAAAGCTATGATAGTCTTTGGGCTCCCCCCCAAATTTTTGCACCAATCCTGGTACCTTCTGGCGAGCTGGGTGGCTTTCTCCTTTGTCTGAATCTTGTGCCCTCCTCTCCTCCAGCCTGGCGGTCTGCTGCGCCTGGTGGACCTCAAACACTGGTACCTTCTTCCAGGCTTGGACCCGCTCCAGCCCCTGCTTCTCCGGTTCCTGCTGGGTTGCTCATTATGCCTTCTCCTGCACAAGCTGCGTTCAAAGACTGTCGGAATGCTATGATGGGATAATGAGCTGCTTGTGCGTAAAATCGTATTCCCTCAGAGTTTGTTCAAGTCCACAAACCTCTGTCTGTGACTGAGCCCCTCTGACATGGCTCCTCTTAGTCACTAGAAGATTCCGACAGTGGTTGCTTTCGTAATCGCTTCCAACATAAAAGCTCCTTAACGGAAACACGTCTTCTGGACTCTCTGCGTGACAGTTTCCGGCGAGGAGTGGGTGTCGCTACAGGAGGTCCGGAAACCTCACCACTGTTTTCGCTGGAAGTATCTCTGAGCCATCCCCCCAGCTCCTTTTCCCTCAGTTCAGCTTCTCTCCCCCTGCTGGTTTCCTCTTCAGCTGCTAAGTCTCTTCCAACCTGTCTGAGCCCTTTCACCTCCCTCAGTTCAGCTTCTCTCCCCCTGCTGGTTTCCTCTTCAGCTGCTAAGTCTCTTCCAACCTGTCTGAGTCCTTTCACCTCCCTTCCTACCGATGGCAGTTCCCTGACAGGAAGTAACAATGCTCATCTACCTCACATGGCTGTTGCAACGGCTGCAAGATAATGTATGCAAGGTGTTCTGAATTCTGTTTAAAAATTAAGCAATAACAGTATTTGGCTGTATGAAAGTAAATAATTTTAATCTGCATGCTGTGTAAACAGCAAGTTATAAGCCATCAATAAGAATGTTCCAATGCCATGGACATGACAGTTATCCATCTCTCTGTCTCACATACTGTATTGGCAACTTATGGACTGCATGCAACCCTTGACAGCTTTCTGTGCAGCCCACAGACCCCTTGCCCCCCCTCCCCTTGCTGCCCAGTTGCTTGGGACTGGAAACAGTTGAAGAGCAGATCCTTGGCTGCTTCTATATAGCTGTATGACCAGAAGTTACCTCTTCAATGGACTGAAGACTGACTTTTCTGGGGGGTTTTTTTGCTTCTTGCCTTTCTTGCATGTAATCTCCTTAGGGTGTGTTAAGTGAACAGGTATATTTAACATGCTTGCAGTGCTAAAGGAGATTTAAAGATCTGAAACTGTGCCATGGTGATTTTCCTACTGTACCTTGCCTTATTCTTAAAAATGCATTCCTGTCTGGTACTGATAAGAAACTTCCTGTCTTTCATGTCATTTCCAGATGCTTTGGGAGGTTTCCTTTTATGTGGCACCCAGGGCCTCCCACCCCTTTTCTTGATCCTGCTTTACAGATAAAGGATAAAGGAAGGTCTGCCATGTGGGCACCCATGGGACAGTCAGTGAACAAGCTGCATGCACAATGCCCTCATGGCAAGACATTTGCAGACCCAGGACACTGAGCACAGCCTCCCATGTCTGTGCATCACCTCTCCAAACGCTTCCTGCAGATGACCACAGGCCCAGGTCTTGCCAGCAGCACCATACCTTTGAAGTATACGGCTTTCCCACAACCCTTGGCAAGTGACAGTCCTCGCAATTCTTTAGGAGAAGCCATGTGCTCCGTGGTTTTATGGTGCTTTGCACAGCCCCAGTGAACTGCTCACTACTGCTTTTCACTTGGGCAAGTCTTGAAGTATGTAAACAGGGCCAACCAAATGGAGGTGGGAGCCTACCCAGTTTATTATTGCTTGTTACTTTGATGTGGAGTTGAGAGACAATGGAGTCATTCAGTCACCTACATGTCTACCTGTGGGATTTAATTGCCCTACAACCTTCTGTGCTGTTGCTCTTCCATGACAGTGGCTCTGGTTCGCTTACTCAGGGGAAAGCTGTCTCTCAGAGTTTCTCTGCCTCTGCAGAACATCAGCCCTCTGATTTGAACTTGACTAGCTGATTTCTCTAGCAACCCTAGAGGAATTTTATTTACAGTTTCAATAACTCGGAAACAGGGAAGCCTATTACATTTCTTCAGTTGTTTTTTACGATAAGGGTTTCTGGAAAAAGAAAAAAGTGAGAATAGTTTATTTCCTCAGGATTGGCCAGTTCTTTATTCATATTCAATTGAATTAATTGTCCTCTATCATGTTCAACAAATCCCAAAGCAATCAAATAATGCTTAGCCCACTTCTTAGAGCTCTCCATTTCTGAAAGGCTTGTTTAGCTCTTGTTAAACTGAACAAGGCACACTGGGGAGGAGCTGGAACAGTTCAGCTGGTTTATGTAAAATGAGCTTTGATTTTCGGGAAGGAAGTCATTTGTGTGCTTTGCTTGAGAGCAGGCACAATCAGTACAAACCCAAGATTCTCAGGAGATATGGAAGGGTGTGGGGAATTTTTACCTTGGCTTTCTGTCAATATTCTGCTTACTTGGTGAGTTAAAAGTACATTTCCTATTATTGTACATCGTGTTCAATTTTGGTTTTCCTGCAAAGTTTTCCCCCTTCACACAAGGCTTTTAAGGAGTTCACCTAAGCCTTAGATCAGCACTGGAGGACCAGTGCTATAGGTTATTTCATGGGGGGGGGGGGGCACATCCAACAACATGCCTAACCATCTCCTATGGGCCAATCTGAGCACAGGTCTTGCTGTGGAGACAACCAAACTCATATTAGAGCACATAACTAGCCTTACTGTGCGACAGTGAAAGCAGCAACGAGGGCCTGATTTGCTGCTTCCAATTCATCCTCAAGTGATCTCCCAGCAGAGCTCTTCAAGGCTGTCTGTAGGCTGTTGACACCTGCATTAGTAGGTGGATCCTGGGGGCACCCCAGAGACCCTCTATGATTTGCTCGCTAGGCACTTTGAGGATCAAGTTGTTCACCTCTGTAGTGAGCCAAACACCACAACAGATGCACCTCTGAGTCAAGTTTCCGATGCTCCACTGAGCCCTGCTTTGTGGGATCATCAGTTTCACTTTTTGCAGCCTAATGACCCTGGCAAGATGCTTGTGAGAACACGGCGCCCACTGGCGTGCCCTCTCGACCCCTTTCCCTTCATGGCTGATCAAAGATGGCCAGGAGGTCCAAGGTGTGGTGACTGCATTGGGGGAGGGGGGCCTGCTACCTTTAAGCAGGTGTCACGGCAGGCGCTCCTTTAAAAAACCACCACCTTAGACCTGATGGCATTGAACAACTACTGCCCAGCTGCAACAAAACAACCCCTTTTTTTGGACAAGGTTTTCCAGAGGATTGTGGCACAGCAGTTATAATAATAATAATAATAATAATAATAATAATAATAATAATATCTTTATTGTCATTGCCCCCTTCGGGGACAACGAAATTACTTGACTGCTCCATAAAAACACTAATTAATCAATACAGTATAATACAGCAAGGGAGATTAGATGACTTTCAAAGTCCGGGCTTCCCATTCAGGGCCGAGATCGCTCTGCAGAAGAAGCTGTTCTTAAGACGGCTCGTTCTTGTCTTCATCGTCCTGTATCTCCGTCCCGACGGCAAGAGCTCGAAGAGACAGTGACCAGGATGCGATGGATATTTTACTATGTCCAGTGCCTTCCTATGGCACCTTGTGGCATAAATCTGCTCTAAGGTGGAGAGTGGGCAGCCAACAATGCTCTCTGCTGCCTTAACAACCCTGCACAACCCCATCCTGTCCTGGGTAGTACAGCTTCCGTACCACACACATAAGCCGTAAGTGAGCACGCTCTCAATGGCACAGTGATAGAAGGCAAGCAGCAGTTTCTGCGGAAGATGGTTTTTCCTTAGTATTCTCAAAAAGTACAGTCTCTGCTGCGCCTTCTTCACAAGCCCCCCTTGTGTTGACACTCCAGGACAGATCCTCTTGTAATTCAATGCCCAAAAATCTGAACGTTGTTACCCTCTCCACACAGACCCCATCAATCAAAAGTGGCTGGATGTTGCTCTTCTGTCTCCTGAAGTCCACCACAAGCTCCTTTGTCTTCCTTGTATTTATGAGCAAGTTGTTAGCTCTGCACCACTCTGTCAGCTGCTCCACCTCATCTCTATAATCCGTTTCACCCTCCCTTTCAGGGATGAGCCCAGGGATGTTGCCGGCATTCTTGGAGGATACTGATTATTTAGACCTATTCCAATCTGGGTTCAGGCCAAGATTTGAGACTGAATCCACCTTGGTTGCCCTGGTGGATGGATAGAGCCTCATCTTTTCAGGAAGGGACGGGGGAGTGTGACCATGCTGCTCCTAGAATCATAGAATCATAGAGTTGGAAGAGACCACCAGGGCCATCGAGTCCACCCCCCTGCCAAGCATCTGCTTGATCTCTCATGCTTGATCTCTCATCAGCTATTGATTCCATGCAGGACCATCTATGAGTCTCAGGGGCCCTATTCTGCAGCAGGTGCTGTCTTCTGTTTCTGAAGGCAGCATCAGATTAATGTTTTTTGGCCCCTTGGCTCTTCAGCTAAGGGGTGCTGCAGGGAACAATCTCATCTCCAATTCTGTTTTGGAGCCAGGTGTCACCAGCATGCCATCTGAGTCAGGAATGGCTGGGCAGGCTCTTGACTGGTGCCGTCCAGATGCAGGGGTCAGGTGGGTAAGACTAATAAGCTGAGTCTGGATCTGCTCTCTGTGGGTGAGAGGTGTGGGGGTCCAGGAACTTGGTACAATGCCTGCCCTGGATGACACACAGCCTGAAGGGGCGCTCCTCGACCCATCTCCGTCACTGGAGGCGCAGGTAACTCAAGGGGTGGCTAGGAATGCCTCTTGAAGTATGAAGTTTACGGCATGTAATGCCCTAAGAGAGAATATTATGAAAATGATATACAGGTGGTACATGACCCCAGTCAAGCTTGCAAAAATCTACCATTCGCCCGATAATAAATGTTGGAAATGTAAAGAAACTGAAGGTACATTCTTTCACCTTTGGTGGACGTGCCCAAGGATTAAGGTTTTCTGGGAGATGATTTATAATGAATTAAAAAAGGTATTTAAATATACCTTCTTGAAGAAACCAGAGGCCTTCCTCCTGGGCATAGTCGACCAATCGGTGTTAAAGAAGGACAGAACTTTCTTTATGTATGCTATAACAGCAGCAAGAATACTTATTGCAAAGCATTGGAAGACACAAGATCTACCCACACTGGAGGAATGGCAGATGAAAATGATGGACTATATGGAATTGGCGGAAATGACTGGTAGAATCCGAGACCAGGGAGAAGTGTTGGTGGAAGAAGATTGGAAGAAATTTAAAGACTATTTACAGAAATATTGCAAAATTAATGAATGTTAGAATGATGTTGGATTGAAGTTAAGTGGTTTCTAGCTGTAATGGTATAAAAGAATATGGAAAAATTGGTTTTTAATATCTAAAAATTTAATGTTATAATATATCAGGATTAAAGATCAGGATTAAAAAGGAGGGAAAGGAATCGCTGGATTAATAAATTGAATTGGAATACAAAAGAGGGAGGTATGAGGAGGTCCGGGAAACAAGTAAATGTAAAAGAAGTGATGAAAAGATGGAATTGTTTTTAATTGGTTTTTCTTTTTCTTTTTTATATTTTGTATATATATTTTTTTACTGTTAATTTTCTTTTTAATGTAATTTTTTCCTTTTGAAATTTTAATAAATATCATTAAAAAAAAAAAAAAAAGGAATGCCTCTTACCAGCTCTGGTTGCGAAGACAGCTATGTAGGGCTGTTCCCTAATCAGGGCAGCTTGGCCAGTTGTCCATGCACTGGTAACCTCAGTGCTGGATAGCTGCCATGGGCTCTATGTGAAGCTGGTACAGAACATGGTGGCTAAGTTGCTTGTGGGGGAAAACTTCCGCTAGCACAGCTTCAGCACTGGCCTGGTGGAACGGGTGATGGAGTCTCATGACCAAAAGTTCCCTTCACCATTTGCACTGGGCTGTTGCTATGTTTGGATTCAGACATTTACACACACAGCGGGCATACATATTTAACATAGAGTGCAAAATAAAAAGCAGTCTATTTCATAGTGAAACTGCAGGAATGAACCCATTGTCTGGCTGCAATGTCTACCAGGCTGTTCTTTTTCAGACATGCCCATGGGCTCTGGCTAGCTCATCCACCTGAACTTCAGCATAATGAATTGGCTTATAGCAAACAACAAAGCTACCCTGTGAGCTTTTCTGCATTGGTGAGATGGTCACCCTCTTAGAGAAATGTCTTGATAGAGAAGGAGGAAAGAATAAAACAGATCTATGCCAAAGTTACACCGCTATGGACGGAGAGGAAAAGTCAATGTTGGCTCTTGAGTGAGAAATAATGGCAGCTCTAGGTGGGCAGTTGGCAGTGCAGCAGCACCACCTCCTGGAGGAAAGAGGAAACGCAGGCCAAGCGAGGCTGAAGTACGCTCCAATCCCTCGTGTGGCAAATAAACCTGATTAACTGCTAGGAATTCAAAATGACACAGACCCATGCAGAGCCCATCTAACTGTTCTCACATTTAAGCATTTAATGCAGATTAAGCCTCTTAACTGTATATTATTAATAATAATTTTATTATTTATACCATGCCAATCTGGCTGGGTTTCCCCAGCCACTCTGGGCGGCTTCCACTACATATAAAAACGTAATTGCAACTTTCATTGTTAGAAGGGAGTTGTTAACTGCTGCTAAAGAAAGAGCGATCTTAGAAACTATAACTGCTCCATCCATGAGAATTAGCTGGACTGTAGGGTTGGGATTGAACTCTGCACCATGCTGAATGTTCCATCTGCGCAAATATATCAGCTTGTCAGGCAGAACAACCCCCGCCCACCCATGCACTGTTCTGGGGGTCCCAACACACGCACCCCAACCAAGTAATGGGAAGTGGGGAGCCCCATTGCACAAGCAGAAGCCCTTCTGATAGGGTTCG